GCTCTCACTGTGAAAATCACAGTGAGAAGCACGCAAGCGCCTCTAGTGGCTGTCAATGAGACAGCCACTAGAGGCTTTGGGGGAAGGTTTAACCCATTAATAAACATAGCAGTTTCTCTGAAACTGCTATGTTTATAAAAAAATGGGTTAACCCTAGCTGGACCAGGCACCCAGACCACTTCATTAAGCTGAAGTGGTCTGGGTGCCTAGATTGGTCCTTTAAGCATAAGACAAGCTTCTGAAGCTGTGTCCTTAAGGGGTTAAGTCACCTGACTTCTTCAGACACAGGGGGAATGAGAAGCATAAACCTGCCACTTAGAAATTTATTTATATTTGCCTAAAACAGAATTTAAATAAACAAACTTTTAAATATATCCATCCACACATACATTTTTGATATGGAAGTATTTTTCTGGAGTGAGGGGGTGTGGCTAAAGAGAGGGGATTATAGTGCAGCATTTTGCAAAACATTTATTGGTGTCCCTTTAAAGCGTAAATCCATTATTTTTTTTTTACATTTTAACTCCTATGATGTTCCCCAGGTACCCATCGGCACTCTTCTGTCCCAAGTATACTCAGCCATTGTACTGAGCAGAGAACAGAATCATTGAGAATCATTGACAACCACTAATATATATATTTATATATATGTAAAGGTGCCGGTCTGTAGTTGTGCCGCGTTCGGCACTTTCAGTTCGGCTTTTTCAAAGCAGTCCTACAATTAAAGGGACACTATAGTCACCTGAACAACTTCAGCTTAATGAGGTTTTTCAAGTGAGAACTATAGCTCCCTGTAGCCTTTCTCATGTGAACACTGTATTTTTTTTGAAAATACAGTGTTTACATTGAAAGCTAGGAACACCTCCAGTTGCAGGCACTCAGACTGCCACCAGAGGGACTTCTGAGTTGATGAATGCCTAATTCACATACATCACGTTTAACGTCTTCATGCTTGGGTGAAGACATCACACATGCTATCAGCAGACAGGAGATAGGAGGCACTGTAAATGGCCAGGAGCTGGCTGGGGTCCTCTATTCCCGCCGTGGACGGTCCTACAGTTCCGGCGAAGGCAGGCACTGACCGCGAGATGTGGTCACGTGTTCCGACTAACTCTAAGAGCGCGCCAAACATCTCGGGCACGCTCTTAAAGCGACAGTGGGAGCTGAAAAGTAAAACGATCTCCCATTGGCCCCTGTCATCCCACATTCCCCATACATTCACATTTTGGGGGCATGGATATGACAGGGGCCAATCAAATTAAATACTAGGGTATTTATACTTACCTCTCCCTTAACTCCCTGCCCTATCGTGGTTTCTGTTTCAGTTCCCTTTAGCGCTTGTTGTGCTCAGTTGTGATTTTTTCATGCTTGACCTTGGCTTTGTTTTTGACTCTGTTTTTCTCTTTATCCCTGTTTGTCTTGTTTGCCGGCTTACTGATCCCTGTGTACCAGACCTTGGCTAGCCCTTGTTTTCGCTGTCTCTTTGTCCCCTTGACCTCGGCTCGTTCCTGACTCTGTCTATTCTCTGTTCTACGTCGAGTCCTGCCATTCTAAGGTCCAGTAAGACATATCAGCTTTATATTGTCAATTGTTTTACTAAATCTTGCGTGTTGGGGTAACTACCGTGATACTGAGGGAGTGTAGGTGACTGAGTGAGTGTAGGTGACTGAGTGAGTGTGGGTGAGTGACTGAGTGATTTGAGTGACTGGGTGTGGGTGACTGAGTATGGGTGACTGAGTGTGGGTGACTGACTGAGTATGGGTGACTGAGTGAGAGTGGGTGTCTGAGTGGGTGGCTGAGTGGTTGACTGAGTGAGTGTGGGTGGGTGACTGAATGTGGGTGGGTGGTTGACTGAGTGTGGGTGACTGAGTGAGTGGGTGAGTGAGTGTAGGTGAGTATGGGTGGGTGTCTGGGTGTGTGAGTGTGGATGACTGAGTGTGGGTGAGTGGGTGACTGAGTGAGTGTAGGAGAGTGAGTGAGTGTGGGTGAATGACTATGTGTGGGTGACTGACTATGTGTGGGTGACTGAGTGAGTGTGGGTGGCTGTGGGTGGGTGGCTGAGTGTGGGTGACTAAGAGCGGATGGGTGAGTGTGGATGACTGAGTGTGGGTAAATGTGGGTGGGTGGCTGAGTGTTAGGGACTGAGTGAGTGTGGGTGACTGAGTGTGGGTGAGTGGGTGACTGAGTGTGGGTATATGTGTATGTTTGTATGCAAACACTATATATAGAGAGATCTCTATATACAGTGTTTCTATTCAAACACACACAGTTTGGGCTGAGAAGGGTTTCCGTAGAATGGGGAGGACATAGAAAGCAAGAAGGCGAGGGCAAACAAAATGAGTTGAGCTGTCAGGCAGCTCCGCTCGCAAACGTACATACTGCACACATGCGCGATAGACCGCTGATTTCATTCATTGGGTGGTATTCAATGGCATTGAATTCAATTGGCATTCAATTGGTGAAGTGTAAAGCCGCGCATGCACACCAGATCACTATGATGCTGCTCTAAGAGAAGCGTCTGATTGAGCCCTGCTACTTCATCATTTTGACAAAAAAGGGGGTGCAGCTTGAAGGGGATCTCGGTGCTGGAACGGAGTTAAGTTTATATGCTAAAAAGGACTCAAAAATTATTTTTAAAAAGGGGAAGTTCATATAAAAGCAAGGAAGAAGGCTAGGGGACCTGTCTTTCTTGCTTTTAAATGTAGACTATAGTGCTCCTTTAAGGGTAAGGGCTTTCGGTTTCCGGCTGAATTTCAGCTTTTTGTAAATTAGATAACCTATAGTAACGTAGTAACCTGGACTGGCATTTTTCTCTAACTATACACTAGGCCCAACAAGATACATCTTTCTGGGCTTCTCTGCCATAATCAGTGGTCCAACGAGGCCTACTCCCACCCTCAATCTCGAGGTACATTCGCCATCGGTCCAATGCATAGTTAGTGCCTCGCTCATTGGTATAGCACGCCCGACCTTTTTGTCTATATCGGTTATCTGTCACCTGAGGCATTCTCCCCGGCATTAGGCTGGAGGATATTTACACCCGCATGCCAATTTATAGTTAAAGCCTCTTTCATCACTCGGCGCCTAGCTAGGTTTCACCAAATTCACCTCCTGGTAATGCAATTTCATCACTTGGTATTAGCCAGTCCACTATTTTTGCTTCACCTATCATTAACACTAAATTGCATGTTGTCTATTCTTCCTACCTAGAATGTCAAACCAGTCCATTCAAGGTGACAACCTATCTTTACCTAGTATCCCGGTTAGGAACGATTCCCCATCCAGGCAAGGGGATTCAACAAGTCCTAGTTCTTTAATATCATGGTCTATCCCGAAGATCACGGCTGAATTAAAGAAGAAAAATATAGCGTACCCAGCCATGGCTAGGAAGGCTTAACTGTTTAGACTGTTAAGGTCTCAAACTGACTCTGAAACCCCTAGTCCCAGTCATGAAGGGACTGTTCAACCCAGTTTGGTCGACCTGCACTCCTTAATGACTAATTTGACCTCCTCCTTTAACATCATTGCTACTAAGCTCGGGGTCTTGCAAGCCACCACGATTGCTGGTACTTCCTCCTCGTCTGCCGTTCCTCCTGTTATCGCCATTGCGAGTGTTGGAGTGCAGTGTAATACTCTTCCGATTGCTAACCAGCCCTCAGTTCCACCATGACGCTGAAAAAGGACATCTTGGAAGGCAAAGATGTTGACCTGGTGTCCTCGCTCATAGCATCACAGGATGTCATCGACAAGAAGTCATACTCATTTGGTGACTTGTCAGTTGATATGAACGCACGAGACCCTAGGCTTAACAAAAAACTTTCTATACTGGAGCTTGTTTTAGCTTTTGGGATGTTTAGGAATGTAATATGTTCAGTTTTTCCCGAAAGACGTGAAGAGTTCGACTTGTACTTGCACAAGCTGGTCGACCTTGGGCATAAGTACGGATTTGCTTTTTTTGACATGTCATTTTCCGCAAAACCAGCCGCCACACTTGCCCAGTCCAGCATTAAAACTGATAGGAGTTATCTTGATACAGAACTATTTTGTAGGCATTATGCCGGTCTAAAAGTTTCCAGCTTGTGCAGTTTGCTCGTCATCCACTTACGCAACAAATCTGTGCCCCAACGACGCTGAACTCCCATCCACCAGCCAAGCCTCCGTACCCCAGTCTGCCAGGCCCATACAACGGGAAACAAAAGGCAAGTTGGGGAGACCCATTGTCTTTCTGGTCAAATCTCAGATTTGCAACAACTCCGGCGGCTGCAGGTACAGTGCCTGCAGATTGCTTAATGTTTGCTCCCTGTGTTTCTGGACACATGCAAAAACCATGTGCCCAAATACATTGTTCCCTAGGCAAGGACTGTCACCAGTTAACGTCACCACTTTGTAGCACCATTTGTCACAGCACCCTTCACCTCACTTAATTCAATTTCTCACCAAAGGGTTCACTCACAGGTTCCACACAGATTAGTCACAATACCCTCAGGGACACTCGAATGTGCTAATCTCCAATCTGCCTTGTAACCCACAAACCATGTTGTTACTAATCTCCAGAGAACTCGAGCTAGGCTTCATGATTGGCCCTTTCACGCTGCCACCCTTCTCTAGCTGGAGAGCCAGCCAACTGGGCATCGCTACTGCAAAGTTTTCAATAAACTATGTTTAATAATCGACTTTTCAACTCTTTATTCCTCCACCACACCTAGTCTAAACTCACTAGTACTATTTCGCTACGAAGCTCACTATAGGGGTCAAAAGCAGCACTATGTTGGTCGATATCTTTGTGGAAACCTTGTGCTGGCTCCTGTGAGACTGACTAACATTCCATCACTGAGGGTTCATTTCTGTTCAGCTGAATCAAAAGACTAACAACCTTTTACACTGCAAGAACATCACATACATAGTCTTGGCACATGACCATCTCTCCTATTCTAAGAAGCCTTCACTTAATAATGCCGCCTAGATACGTTTTATATCAATGATTTGTATGCACGTGCTGTCCGTTCTGTTGGTTAATAGTTGTCAATATTTGATTGATAATTTATGATACTCCCTTAGACTCCCAATTATTATAAAACCTTTAAACATTTTCCTGAAATGAGTCCCTTGTCTTTTAATGGAGTATCTGCCAATATTTGAATAGTGTGGCTCAGTTTGGATAGAACTACAAGCTTCTCATTGTTTCTCCTTCTATGCCACAGTCCCTTTTGTATGTCTCTTTCTTTACCTCAGCCCCTCTGTGTGTCACTTTTGACCCCATGCCCTCTGTGTGTCTCTCCCTCCCCAACTCCTCTGTGTGTCTCTTTCTTAAGTCAAGCACCTTTGTGAGTCTCTTGTGAGTCTCTTTCTCCCCCACAACCCCTCTATGTGCTATTTATTCACCTCAGTCCCTTTGTGTTTCTCTTTCCCCAGCTTATCTTTGTTTCGCTTCCTCTCCCATAGCCCCTTTCATGTGTCTCTTTCTTCACCTCACCCCCTCTGTGTGTCTCTTTCGATCACATCCCCTGTGTGTCTCTTTCGATCACATCACCTGTGTGTCTCTTTCGATCCCATTCCCTCTGTGTGTCTCTTTTGATCCCATCCCCTCTGTGTGTCTCTTTCTCCCTCCCACTTCTCTGTGTGTCTCTCTTTCTCGCCCAGCCCCTCTGTCTGTCATTTTACTCCCCAAGCCTCTTGTTGTGTCTCTCTCCCCAAACTCCTCTGGGTGTCTCTCACAAACAAAACCCTCTGGGTGTCTCCCCCCCAATCCCCTTTGTGCATCTCTTTTGCCCCCTTAAATCCCCCTGTGTGTCCTTTTCTCCCTCACAAGTCTCTCAGTGTGTCTCTTTCTTCTCCAAATCCCTCTGTGTGTCTCTCCACCAAAGCTCTCCTATGTGTGTTTCTCTCCCTCACTACCCCTTTGTGTGTCTCAACCCCAACCCCTTTGTATGCCTCTCCTTCCTTTGGCTTTATTTCTCATGGTAGCTCTGTTTGGAATGGAGATAAGCTGTACAAAAAAGATGGTTTGCATCTTTCTCAAAAGGGAACAAATGTTCTCAGTGAGCAGTTCAGAGGTTTTGCTAGGATGTATTTAAACTAGGAGGGGGGGGGCAAAAGGGTGATAAAACATCAATCCAATTGTCCCCCAAAACAAGGACAGAAGGTGCCTGTAGCAAGTGTGTTAAAAATGATAAGCTTAGAGTCATGTCTACAAATGCTCGCAGTTTAGGGAATAAGATCCATGAACTTGTGGCAATAATGGCAACTGATAGTGTAGATTTAGTCGCTGTTACTGAGACATGGTGCAATGAGAAAAATGACTGGGACATAGCAATACCAGGGTACTCTTTATATAGGAAAGATAGGGAAGGCAAGAAAGGGGAGGGGTGGCCTTGTATGTGAAGGATAGCATAAAATCTAGCCTAATAAAAGTTAGTGAGGCAAACATAGAGTCCGTTTGGGCTACGTTAGAATTTGGTAATCACACAGTAACTCGTGTAGGTGTGATTTATAGGCCCCCAGGACAAATTGAAGAGTTAGATAATCTACTAGTTGAGGAAATAGCTAAAATGACAATGAAGGGGGAAGTTATCATCATGGGTGACTTTAATCTTCCTGATGTAAATTGGAAAACAAAATTAGCTACTTGTGCCAGGAGCACACATATTCTAAACTCCCTACTGGGTTGTCTCTAAAACAAGTTGTTGAGGAGCCAACTCGTAAAGAGGCCATACTAGATTTAGTGTTAACAAATGGAGATTTAGTATCAGATGTTACTGTAGGTGAAAGTTTAGGATCCAGTGATCATCAGTCAGTGTGGTTTAATATAAGAACAGTGACTGAGTCACACCACAAAAAAACAAAAGTTTTAGACTTTAGAAAAACAGACTTTTCTAAAATTAGAATATGGGTAGAGGAGTCATTATCAGACTGGAGCAATTTAAATGGAGTCCAAGAGAAATGGGATTATTTAAAAGTTGCACTATTGAAGGCAACAGAAAATTGCATTAGGCTTGTCAGTAAAAGCAAAAAATTCAAGAAACCACTGTGGTACTCCACAGATGTGGCCAAAATAGTTAAAAACAAAAAGTTAGCATTTAGGAATTATAAAAAAACCCAGAGTGAGGAAGACAAAATGATCTATAAGATTAGGCAGAAAGAGGCTAAGCAAGTTATAAGAGCTTCCAAATCACACACAGAAGAGAAAATAGCACAGTCAGTAAAAAAGGGGGATAAAACATTTTTAGATACATAAATGAGAAAAGAAAAGTAAAACAAGGATTAGTTAGATTAAAAACAAAAGAAGGAAGGTATGTAGAAGAGGATAAAGGTCTAGCTGACTGCCTCAATGAATATTTTTGTTCTGTATTTACAGATGAAAATGAAGGAAAGGGACCTCAGTTGAGAAAAAGGATAAATGAGTCATTTATTACACGTGAGTTTACAGAGGAAGAGGTTCTATTTCAACTGTCAAAAGTAAAGACAAACAAGTCAATGGGACCTGATGGAATACACCCAAAGCTATTAAAAGAGCTTAGTGGTGTACTAGCAAAACCATTAACAGATTTATTTAACCAATCATTGTTAACAGGTGTAGTCCCAGAAGATTGGAAGTTAGCGAATGTTGTGCCCATTTACAAGAAAGGTAATAGGGAGGAGTCGGGCAACTATAGGCCAGTAAGCCTTACTTCAGTAGTGGGAAAGTGATGGAAACCATGTTAAAGGATAGGATTGATGAACATCTAAAAACACATGGATTTCAAGATCAGAGACAACATGGGTTTACTTCAGGGAGATCATGCCAAACTAATCTTATTGATTTTTTTGATTGGGTAACTAAAATTATAGATCAGGGTGGTGCAGTAGACATTGCTTACCTAGATTTCAGTAAGGCTTTTGACACTGTTGCACATAGAAGGCTTATCAATAAACTGCAATCTTTAAGTTTGGATTCAAATATTGTTGAATGGGTAAGGCAGTGGCTGAGTGACAGGCAACAGAGGGTTGTAGTTAATGGAATATATTCGAAGCTTGGACTTGTCACCAGTGGGGTACCTCAGGGATCTGTACTTGGACCCATTCTCTTTAATATTTTTATTAGTGATATTGCAGAAGGTCTTGATGGTAAGGTATGTCTTTTTGCTGATGATACTAAGATATGTAACAGGGTTGATGTTCCAGGAGGGATAAGCCAAATGACAAATGATTTAGGTAAACTAGAAAAATGGTCAGAATTGTGGCAACTGACATTTAATGTGGATAAGTGCAAGATAATGCATCTTGGACGTAAAAACCCAAGGGCAGAGTACAGAATATTTGATAGAGTTCTAACCTCAACATATGAGGAAAGGGATTTAGGGGTGATTATTTCTGATGACTTAAAGGTAGGCAGACAATGTAATAGAGCAGCAGGAAATGCTAGCAGAATGCTTGGTTGTATAGGGAGAGGTATTAGCAGTAGAAAGAGGGAAGTGCTCATGCCATTGTACAGAACACTGGTGAGACCTCACTTGGAGTATTGTACACAGTACTGGAGACCGTATCTTCAGAAGGATATTGATACCTTAGAGAGGGTTCAGAGAAGGGCTACTAAACTGGTTCATGGATTGCGGGATAAAACTTACCAGGAAAGGTTAAAGGATCTTAACATGTATAGCTTGGAGGAAAGACGAGACAGGGGGGATATGATAGAAACATTTAAATATATAAAGGGAATCAACACAGTAAAGGAGGAGACTATATTTAAAAGAAGAAAAACTACCACAACAAGAGGACATAGTCTTAAATTAGAGGGACAAAGGTTTAAAAATAATATCAGGAAGTATTACTTTACTGAGAGGGTAGTGGATGCATGGAATAGCCTTCCAGCTGAAGTGGTAGAGGTTAACACAGTAAAGGAGTTTAAGCATGCATGGGATAGGCATAAGGCTATCCTAACCATAAGATAAGGCTAGGGACTAATGAAAGTTTTTAGAAAATTGGGCAGACTAGATGGGCCGAATGGTTCTTATCTGCCGTCACATTCTATGTTCTATGTTTCTATGTTTCTTCCCCATTACAGCTCCTTTGTGAATCTTATTCCCCCAGCTACTCTATGTGTCTCACCCCCAGCCCCTCTATGTGTCTCTCCTCCCTTTGTGGTCTCTCCCCACAGCTTCCTGTGCCTGCTCCCCTGTGTAGCATGGTCGAGCAGACCATGGTAGAATATCCTCTATCCAGGCTAACAGGAAGCTCAGTGAGAACTTCCTGTCATACTGTGTAGCGAATGCAGAAGATCCTCTACTGCGGTAAGCTTGACCACACTATGCAATCACTGCCAGGAGTGGAGTGCTCCAAGGATCTTAATAGTGACAATATATCTAAATGTTTTAACAAAAATCCACTACATGAAATGTAAATGTGTGATCATGGGAAGGGATAGCAAGCTAAACATGAACGAGAAATTACACATAAATACAAAGAACCAGGAAACAAGCACCCATAACTGTGTATGCAGGAGAAAATGAACATAAATAAAGATCACTAACAGCTTTAAATTCTATTAGCTATATAAACAAGAGAAATTAAGAAATTTTAATGATTTTTTTTAAAAATGTTACTTATCTCTATATTTAACAAAAATGTATTTGTGAGATGCAGAAAAAAAAAATAGAAATCCACACATCTTTCACCTGCAGCTGAACACCCTGCGTCTTTGCGTCCTGTCAATCCTTGCTATAAGCTCTGTCCTTGGCATTTGACAGTCAACATAGAGAAAGCATTCAGAGAACAGTATAAATTAAAATAAGCATTTATTTTCATAATGTGCCTTGGCTGTGCCTAAACTGAACTGGATTATGGTGTAGTTTGCTAATATTTAATATAAATTCAAAAGAAAAGCAGCATATTATGAAAAAAAGGTTATATATCATATTTCACGCCTAGAAAGAATTTGATTGGTGCAGTGCGGCGCTTTGCTGCGCATGTGTACTAGCCTTCAATTGCTACCCGTGGAGAAGTCTTGGATTGGTTGAGATCATCAAGACTGATGATCTCATCCAAGAAGGTGGAGCGCAGCACAGAAACCAGCACAAGCTGCAGGATGTAAGGTAAATAAATCTTACCTAGGGAGGAATTACATAGGGGATGCCTACATAAGAATGGGAGCATGTGTTTGTATTGCTAATGGTATATTGCTCCTTTAAGTTTAAAAGCTTTAAAATAAATTGAAGCACAGAGATATCATTTTATACAATAAACATTCTGCTTTTGACTGTGACTCGTGTGTTTTGTTTAATAGATCATAAAGCAGATCAAAGAACTAAGAGCCGATTAAAAGGCAGTAAATTAACTTATCCTGTGACCTGAGTGGGAATATAATAGGGAAATGTGCACACATCGGTCACACAAGTCAGGTGAGATGTATCAAGGCAAACCTTTTCATGGTGGTTTCTGAGGTTATATCTCCTTATTTTGCCTCAAATCTGCAGATGGTTTTGCCTTCATAAACTATCATGTGTTAAGGTAAAAGCTTTAAAAGGTAAGGTAAGAGGTAAAGGTAAAAGTAGTAAAATAAACAACTTGTCCATCGTTGAATGTTTTCTTTGAATAATTCTGACAGTGAATTTCAAAAGCTAGCCTAAAAAAGCTGGAAGCACAAATTGATTTTATTCCTGAGAATTAATTTTATTCCTGAGAACACTATAGTCACCTAAATTACTTTAGCTAAATAAAGCAGTTTTAGTGTATAGATCATTCCCCTGCAATTTCACTGCTCAATTCACTGTCATTTAGGAGTTAAATCACTTTGTTTCTGTTTATGCAGCCCTAGCCACACCTCCCCTGGCTATGATTGACAGAGCCTGCATGAAAAAAAACTGGTTTCACTTTCAAACAGATGTAATTTACCTTAAATAATTGTATCTCAATCTCTAAATTGAACTTTAATCACATACAGGAGGCTCTTGCAGGATCTAGCAAGCTATTAACATAGCAGGGGATAAGAAAATCTTAATTAAACAGAACTTGCAATAAAGAAAGCCTAAATAGGGCTCTCTTTACAGGAAGTGTTTATGGAAGGCTGTGCAAGTCACATGCAGGGAGGTGTGACTAGGGTTCATAAACAAAGGGATTTAACTCCTAAATGGCAGAGGATTGAGCAGTGGGCCTGCAGGGGCATGTTCTATACATCAAAACTGCTTCATTAAGCTAAAGTTGTTCAGGTGACTATAGTGTCCCTTTAAGTGCATGGATTTGTTTTTATGGCTTATTTACCATTGTGTTGTAATGCTCCCATTGTCCCCAGATAATTCAGCATTGCCCTCGGCTTACTAGAATCCATATTTGGTCATTCTTAGTTATATATTTGTAGCATTTTTGCTTTTCTCTTGGGCCTTGATTTAATATTTTTGAATACGCTTTTAATGTTAAAAATTATTAACTTTTAAAAAAAAAGTTTTAATATATTGCTATATGTTTTTTATATGATAGATTTTTTTTTTATTTGATAACAAATCATTTTAAAAGTTTATCCAAAAAGAGTAAATCATTTTAAAAAAAAAGCTTATACAAAAGTATTATATTGAGGCTTTCATTTGGCATGATTATTTTGTGAATAACTTGTCCAACCTGCTTTTTAATCTAACCTACACAATTTCTAAAACATCTTAAGTATGCATGCATGTTTTATCTTCATAGGTTTCTGCATATCAATTCTACCTTTACTAACAGATGACCTTATATGGATATTTATTTTCAAATCATCTCTGTTTCCTTGACTTCATAACAGATTACGTAATCTGGAATTTGTCCCACCTGCTCTGTAACATATTACCTTATGTAGACTTTTTATATATATTGTGTTTCCATGGCTTCATAACCAATTTTGTTATTTGGAATTTGTCACACCTGCTCTGCTTCATAACATATTACCTTATATAGACTTTTTATGTATACCATATTTTTGTATTGCTGTGTTAGAGATTACATGATCTAGTAGGTGTATTATGACATTTTTATATTAATTGTGCAAAATATTTTAAACACTATCTCACCCAAAAGCGAAATATAAATATTAAAACAATGTTACTTAAACAAATGTAAGTAAGGAAAACCCAGAGCTTTATTGTAAAAAATACCTCACAGTATATTGTGGCAATGGATGGGTATCAAGAAGCTCCAAAGCAATAATAGATCCGTTTAGATTATAGATATTTTTTTAAAGACCTGGATATTTTGTTTTTTGTTTTTTGAAAATCAGAATATTCAAGGAGATAATGAACATGTATGTGTTGATTGGTTATTTATTGAAAGAAAAAGCTGATTACCTCTAAGTAGTTTCTTTTTTTGTGACGTAATTGGACACTGCTTCAAATTTGCTTGTTTGGTTTGTTTGCCTTCTTTGTGATCAGATTCCTAAAAATGTGAATTTTAAAGTTTGAACTCCATGAACTTGTGTATTTTTTCAACCTAGATTGCTATATAACTATATATTTATGTTATGCCTGCAAATGAGAATCTTCATTTGAACACAGAAGCTTTAAGGTATGGGATTCAGAAGATATCTCACCGGATTCCTTTCACCTTTTTACTACGTATTAATTTACTATTAAAATGTTACCATTTTTACCTCTAGTTTACTACTATAATATTTGTACTTGCAGTTACCTGTAGTAATTAATAATCTGCTTGATAGGATTCAATTGGCAAATAGTTTAATATGTGCAACAAATGGCTAGTCTGTTCCACAACTCCCCGCTTGCCACTCCTAGCTGTAACTTCCTTTATATTACTGTGTATCCTTCTTCTTCCTCAGGCCCAATTTATCTTCCATCCCTGCTACTAAGAATCTTCATTCCTACTCAGCTCTACCCACCCACCCTGGTTCCTTCTAACTATGTAGCATGACTGCTCTGGCTTTTTCCAAGCACAGTCAATCACCTCCTCATTCCCTTCACATGTTTTTAATAACGACAGTCACACTATAAATCTTCTCTGCCATCACCTGCAATTTCCTTTGCTACCTCTTTTCCTATTTTACCTTTAGATTGTAAGCTCATGGGCAAGGTCACCTACCTTTTGTATTGGTCTGTTTACATTGTATTGTTCTTACAATTGTACAGCGCTGCGGAATATGTTGGCGCTTTATAAATGCCAGTAATAAATAAAAAAAAGTCACAAAAAGTTGTCCCTACTATCTTGCAGTACAAAATGAGATATATTGAATCAGGTGAATGGGGATGACATTCTTACGCTGTGTCAAAATCTGGTGCACCAGTGTTCAATGTAGCCAATTGTGCTTAGCTGATAGTAGACCAGTGCAGTTAAAAGTTCATGCCTTTGTGTGTTCAGAGGTGCTCCTCTGAATTAGCAGTGTTGTAACGTGGCTATTTGGGTTACTGGGTTACTTCAGGTCTATCTGAACCAGTGTTTTCTGCACCCTCATCTGACCTTTTCTATTTACAAGACTAATCACCTTTAGAACTAACGTTTACCAAATCCTTTGTTTTTTGCACCATTCTCAGCAAACCCTAAAAATGTTATTCATGAAGATTACAGGAGTTTCTGAATCACTCAAATCACCACCCCTGGTATCAACAATCACAGCACAAATCCTATTCCTTCTATCATTCATTCTACCACCATCAAATGGATGATTAGATGGTTGGATTAATAAACAGGTGTGCAGTAGAGATGTTGCGAACCGTGAAGCTGCCTTCAACATGGATGCTGTCCAGGAGGTGGGAGGGTCTGGGAGGGAGGGTCTGCTGGAGTTTGGCCGGGATGTGTCAGCTGACCGGAGCTCGCCACGAACGGTTCATGGCGAACCGTGGCGAGCCGTTTGCGGGAAGTTCGCGAACGGTTCGTGACATCTCTAGTGTGCAGGCCTGTCTGACAATGTTTTCCATCAAGGAAGTATTAACTATTAAGGAACTCAATCATACAGAATTTCCAAAGAAGAAACATTTTTGTACCTGGTATTCTGATTCTGTCACTTCAGTCTTCTGCTCAGTGTTGTTATTTCTAATTCCTTATTAACACAGAAACACATGCATTTGATTTACACCAATTATTAACGATATTATATTTTGCAAAATGCTTTGCTGCTATATGTTTCATAAAATATATACCTACATCAGGCTAAATACTGCTAGTAATCATCATTTTAAAGTCTATTCTTCCTTAATACAAGTTTTGCAATCTTTAACTTTCCCAGCCCAACTTCAAATTATGTCCTTTAATTGCATGTGTGTGTGTTTGTGCGCGTGCGTGTGTGTGTGTTTGTGTGCATATATCTTGTGTGAGTGTTATGTAAAAGTTTTAATAATTCTAGTTTATCATTTATACTAAGTCCCATTTTGCATAAAAACTTGTGTGTCTATTAATTTGTATATTTGGTATTGACAAGTGTGAAACAAACAGACTTTTGTGCAACAGACTAGTCTTTTTGTTTTTATTCATTGTAATCTTGATGCAACAATTTGCTTTGATCTGCTGTTTAACCCCATTAAATATGTGATATTCATAGATTAAGTAATATTTAAAACTTAACTGAGCTGTGAATGTTATCTAATAAAATATACATGCAGTGTGTTGATAGGGAGCTAACATTCAATGCAGAGACAGAATAGTTGATTACAAGTATGGCTTTAATTACACATTCACTCTGAGGATTAAAATGTAACAAATGTCCCCCACCCCAACATTCTGAGGAGATTTTCTCACTACAAAGTAAAGTAAAGGATAGTGGGTGCACGACACCTAAAGGGAGGCGCAGATGAGAGGGGGTCATATGGTTTAGGTAAACCAGTTTGACGTTTTAACAGTGTTGAGTGTTTTCTTTAAATAAAAAAAATAAAAAAACCGTTGACAAAATGAAACTCAATAGCAAAAACTATGCAGTTGGGACTGATGTACTTGGGAGTGTTATGTATATTCTTTCAATTACCAATCAATGTCTGAACATATACCAAATGTACAAAACCCATGTTATCTACTATGTATACTAAGAACCGCATTGTGCCAGAACGTTTTCCCTGAAACGTATTTGTAAAAAATGTCAACGTAAATAAATAATAATTAAAAAAATGTAACAAATGTAAAAATATGCCATTTTCTTACCTTTCACTTTATTCTTATTGTCATTTCTGATATACCAGAATATTCCCACGCCCATCAGGATTAATATAAAAATGTTTCCAGCTACAATTCCAATGATGATTTTGGTGTCCACCACTCTGCCGACTAGAAAATTAAACATTATAATTTTAAAGACTGTATATTTCAAGATTTAAAATTTAGTGGTTTCCAACCCAGTCCTTAAGGAACAATAATGCAGGATTTAGGAATCTCCTAGTAGTATTCCAATGGAAATACTAGCCAAACATGTCTTTTTGGCATGCCTTAAGGACTGTGTTGGAAATCACCGCTATGTCACTTTTAGATACTGCCAGGTTGCCAAATATAATCCATGTTTGACAGCCTGACTTTATCTAAAAGTGAAAAAAGCTAGAAAACTCCAATAATATGTAGTTAGAACAAAATACTCTCTCAGCCTGTACTAATAGGCCTCAGATACCCATCACATCCCAAGAATTTGTAATTTTACGATTACGTATTGGAAGTGCCAGGAAAATAAAGCTGTCCCACTCCGTGGTGCAGAAGGGATTAAAAAAAAACTTTTTTAACCACCCCCCCCCCCCAGCCAACATCCGCTAGCAAGGAGACCTAATGCAGCAATGGCCACACTTGCATTAGTACTTCACCCATAGGAAAGCACGTATAATGCTTTGCTATTGGGTTTCACTTGACGCTGAATGTCCTCATGCATAGCGTGAGGACATCCAGCATCAGTTCGGTGACCAAAAGTTGCCAGAAGTCCCTTTAGTATCTGTCTTGTAGACAACCACTAGAAGTGGAGTTAACCCTCAAAGGTAATTATTGAAGTTTATTAAACATGCAATAATTACCACTTTAGGGTTAAGGAACCTGGGACACTGCACCCAGACCACATCAATGAGCTGAAGTGGTCTGGGTGCCTATAGTGTTCTTTTAATATACATTTAAAAGCAAACACAGCATTACATGAAAGAGATTAACACAAGTTATTGATGATTTTCTAATTTTGTTAACTTTGCAACATTTCAATAGCTATCAGGGTTATTCACTAAAATGAGAATTCAGAGTGAATTCAAAGTGAATTTCAAAAGTAAGGTCAAAGAAGCCGATCTGGTAGCACAGCTGGATTAGAAAATTTTTCCAATTCATCTATTCTGACCTCAAATTTGAAATTCACTTTGAATTTTCACTCTAGTGAATAACCCTGCATGTGTTTTATCAAGATCTGATAAATAGACATGATTGTGAAAACATTGGGAAGCCTATTCACTTCATGAACAATTGTTGGAGGAAGAGTTGTAAGATTCTAATGTAATTGCATTTAACCCCTTAAGGACCAAACTTTTGGAATAAAAGGGAATAATGACATGTCACACATTTCACGTGTCCTTAAAGGGTTAAAAAAACTTGGGAACTGGAGATGTCATGTTTGCAAACACTAGTACATAACCCAAACATAAATTGAACACTGCATTAATGTTTCATTTTCTTTTTTGCGTACGGTCGTAATTTGAAAACAACTATTACGTTTCCATATACCATTAAATAATTTAATTTGTGACCCCCAGCAGGAGACTATACGTAAAGGAATTGAACTCAGGAGATCCTGCTTAAAGCTTGCTGAAGTGCTTTGGAGGTTAACGTCAGGTGTGCTTTATAAAAGTGCTAATTTTAAAAATAAATAAGCATGACATCAATGCAAGACAACTGTCCCAGATCTGGATAAAGTTGAATTCACTTGATTTGTAACATTTTCCATGCTGAATTGGGAGGCAGGGGGCACAGTGTTCTAAATTCAAATAGGGACCTTCCAATGAAAAAACAAAATATATATATTTATTTCTTTTTTAAATGGTGGTTATGATGGCAGGAGTACTCTTGTAATGGGACAAACAATTTAGCAATGTTTTCCCCTTGTTAACAGTGTTCCCGCTGGGCTTGTGATGTTCCCTGATGGTCAAGTAACGCACTTCCAGCTTCTGCAATGGCGGTTGTCATTCATTGGCTGCGACCATTAGCTGACTGCTCTCGGGCCAATGGCTGACATTCTGTGAAATGAAAGTTGCACAAAATTGACATTAGCCAGCCCAGAACTCTAGTTTTGATCTGGCTGATGACACCCGTATGACGCTGCCAGAGGTGGAGTTACCCCTACTAAGTGGGCAGCTTAATGGTTAATCTCTGCATGTGCAGCATTTCAAACTCCTGGCACCATGACCACT